ATGCCCCCTGGGTCGGGGGAGGGATGGGGGGTACATAGTCTGAAAAGAAATTAATGCTGTGAAATCTGCTTTTTAGTATTAATCAACCATTTTATGATAAAATTTGCAAAATTGTAAAATATATGGCCCCAGGGTCAGTGGTTCCTTTGGGGTGAGGGTGCACAACTGGTTATAAAGTGGAAGTGCGTGTTCTCTTGGTACTCTGGTCTACCTCTGGGTATTAAGTAAATAGAGTAATCATGCTTAGTTTATAATTATGATAAGCAATGGTGCCTCTTTCAAAATTGTGAATTGTGAATTTCATGGCCTCTGGTTTAAAACACGAACCAATTTTAATTTTTTGGAAGTTGTGTCAGGTGACTTATAAGGCTCTTGGGCCTCTTGTTAATGTATGGTTATAGTGTATGTCGTGTTATCTTCTGGTAAAAAATATTATTTATTACATATCCCTTATAGCTTATTCTGCTTGTAAGCTATTTGGTAATATTAACAAATAATACTGTAGGTGTAATTATTGAAAATGAATTACCCACAGTGATTCATTTGGGATAGGTAAATATACATCCATACATCCTTTTCATGCATTCAAGTTCTTTTTTCCCATCCATTTGTTACTCACACTAGTTGATTATCAGGAGATTCATTTTTAATTAGGCATATGTCAAGATTGGTCTTTGTGCGTTAAGTAGGCTATAATAGTATTTTAAGATAAAGATTTCGAACCTTGAATTAATTAATATCCATGAAATCTGAAAGTAAAATGAAACACAACAAATTACATTTTTATATTTGTGCTTGTAGTCTGGAAATGTTTGAAGTGTGGGGATTACAACTTTTTTGGCCACTAAATAAAAGAGATTGTTTTTTTTATATTTGTAAGAAATGAAATTTTTATTTATGTAATTATGTAAGAATGGTTACAAACTCTGCGCTGAAATCAGATCTTATTATAAGTGATAATTAATAGTGAAAAGATGTCCATTTCCAACATTTAGGAGTAGAACTATGGATTTAATTCCTGTTATCGATACATGTTATCTCTATAAGTTTGTGATAGTACCCTGTGGCTCTATAGAATGATCTCTGTGAATAAGTAGCATTTAAAACAGCAAATTCCTTTGATGTTTTTTTTATAATGATTTACCAGCATAATGTACACGTCTGATGAATTTTTGTACCTGTGTTTAAGGTTATTGTTACTTACAAAAGCCGGATAGGCTCATTTCTGAATAGATAAAAAAAAACGAGTTAGTTATCTCGTTATAACGAGTTAGTATTTCGTTATAAAGACTTAGTTATCTCGTTTTAACAAATTAGTTATCTCGTTATAACGAGTTAATATCTCGTTATAACGAGTTAATTTTTCTCGTTATAACGAGTTAAAAACTGGTCTAAAGTTGATATATCTAAGTGATAGGAAGTATGGTATATAAAACCGAGTCGATCAAGTTTGTTTAAAGTGTGTATGATAAAGATTTTATTGAAAAACAGCAAACTAGGGTTTTTTTTCGAGGGGTTGTGTCTGTGATTGTAGTTCGTTTATTTATAAACGATGCAGTTGATTTGTATTGTTTAACTTCAAAGAACGAAGACAAATACGTGTACATGTATACGGAAACTTTTGACTGCCTCGTGATGCTGTGTTATGAGTGGACAGTAGCCCCCGAATTTTACGCCCATGACCATGATGTCTCCATATCCCACTTCTTCAAAATTTTTCTGTCTCCATAAATATTATATATCACACTGTAAGTATAAATAATATATGTTGCATTAACGCCTGCCTTAGCTTGCTGTTATAATATATTAATTTAGGAACTTAGACATTGATTATGAAAGGTAATAGGTCACCCAAAACTCGTAGTACGGAAGCGTAAATGGCTCTACACTTGTTGTGTTATAACTTTGTATATTGTCTTATATTTTATCGACTTATCAATGTATAAAGTGTTATACTTCCTTATTTATGCACATATTTTGAATTGTATTGAGATTTCTTAACATAATTGAAGGCAACTTCTTTTGTTCAATGGATTTTATTGCTTAAGTTTTATCGACTAAAATATTATACTAATTTTCAAATATCGATATTTAATCATGTCAATATAGTAATTGTCGATATGAAGAAATAAATATGAAGTTATATCGATATAGATATATGAATATTTTCGAGAAGTCAGAAAAGGTGTTTTTGAATTAACTTGGCGGGAGCGGGAATTCTAAATAATCTTCACATGGGAAGCTTATGTACCATGTATTTGCTATCGTGTACGATTATAGGCTGAAAAAAAATTCAAAAATATTTGAAAAATGGAGATGGAGAGACACCAACAGTTAAGTATTAAGGAAAGTATTATACCCATCGTTTTGAAGAGAGAATCTGATATATTCTATCATGGTTCACTGCTTATATCTCCTGAGTTCAGTGGGGATTGTAAATCGCTAATGAAGCGAAAATAGTAAGTAACACTACTATAAAAGTAAAACTGATTATATATGTATTTTGTAAATATTTGATGCTGTTCCACTCGGAGGTATACATAGGATCTGACTCATGAATGGGGACCTCCAGTCTTGACCCCCCTCCCCTGCATAAAAATATAAACATCAGATCTAACTTCTTATTGCTTTAAATAAATAAATATAAAATTATTTGTGATTTCAGCCAAACTTTATAAGCTTTGTCACAAAGTTTAAAAGAGGAAAGTGTAGTGTCAGCCAAAATAAATATATAACAAGAAAAACACCCTCAGGGATTTAATAATCTAACTGCGAGAATTAGGGATATATTAGTGGATCTCTGCTGTACTCAGTTTTTGGGTTTTTTTAAAGCTGGATTAGGGGCACAAAGATACTCCCCCTCTTCAAAAGTGGTGATCGGTGCATTAGCCCCCTATGGATCTATAACTTTTAATGTGTCGCCATCACCCTTTTTCAATATGCTTTTTAATTTGATTCAGCCTTTAATTGTACATGCTGTCATGATACATACAATGTAAGCTTTCACTGAATTTCGAGTGAAGTGAAGGTTCATTGGAATTCCCGCTCCCGCCAAAATAATTCAAAAACACTTTATTCTATCGCAAATATTCATAAATAAAAATCGACATATCTTTATCTTTCTTTTATCATATTAACAATAATATATCGTTATGATTGAATATCTTGTTTCGATCAATATCTAAAAATCAAAAATATATTATTTCAGTCGATAAAACTTAAAGCAATAAAATCTATTGAACAAAAGAAGTTGCCTTCCATTATGTTAAAATATGTGCATTAATAAGGAGGTATAACATTTAATATGTTGATAAGACGATAAAATATATACATAGTTTTAACACAACAAGTGTAGAGCCATTTACGCTACAAAACATATTTAAAAAATTAGTGTCTTTTATTGGAGAAAGTTGTCATACATAAATTGCCTTTGAAGCAAGTACATTGGCAATATATATACTTTTTAATATTGTGTCCCTAGAGACATTCACGTTTAAATGTATAAATTGAATTCAATGTATTCGATTGAAAGATTGCTATTTTTATCAAAATGTGATTATTGACAGCAAGATAGTTCGGGATTAATATAATTTAAGGGGGCCGACTCTAGTTTTATTGTGTGAAAACTACAATAGCGAAACTCATCATTTTTATACCATATATAACTTACATTAAATTCAGTGTACATGCGAAGATTGGGGGAAATCTACCGTCCAGGTATTTTTTAGGGACCATCTCAAAATACAGGTACATTTACTATAGAATTATACAGGAAAATGCCAATTTTAAGCACTAGATAAAGTAAATTATACAAATACTACAATAGACATTTTGTTCAAACTATAATATTTGATGAGTAATACTATATTATACAATATATGTAAGAAACGCAAAATTCTACCGCCTTGTTACCAAAGGGGGCATCTCAAAATGCAAAAAATAAGCAAATTTTACTATTTTTATGGAGTATTACAAAATATGACGTACACAATGGATTCGCATGAAAACATAATAAAAATATTGGAGGTGTTCTCAAAATCCTATGTTTTAAATTTCAAGAGCGTATGTGTATTACTTTTTCTTTAATAATATTTTTATTACTCCTCTCTTTAAGAGCTACGGATTATAATAACGTCAAAACATACTGCAACGACGTCAACCTACCTATCAATTGCAAAATCGGTTAAAAAATCAGTTATATCAATTCTATTACATTTTAATAATTAAGCGAAAAAAGTTGCATTAAAACAGTAAATACGCTTCATTTTACTATGATGCGCAAAATATTGCGCAATGGAAACTATAGTCGGCCCACTTAAAGCATATCGCAAATTATATTTGCAACTTTTTGTCAATTTAAAAGTAAAGTACGACTGATAATCATCAACTAAACTTCAATGCCATTTTAAATTCCTATATTGCTATTAATTTTGAAATAAAGGCGCAACTTATTATTTCGTTATAACGAGATAATTAACTCGTTAGAACGAAAAACTTAACTCTTTATAACGAGATAAGTAATTCGTTATAACGACATAACTAACTCGTTATAACAAGATAATTAACTCGTTATAACAAGATAAGTAAGTCGTTATAACGAGATAATTAACTCGTTATAACGAGATACTAACTCGTTATAACGAAATAACTAAGTCGTTATAACGCGATAAAACTAAGTCGTTATAACAACATAATTAACTCGTTATAACGAGATATTAAGTCGTTTTAACGAGATATCTAAGTCGTTTTAACTAGATAATTAACTCGTTATAACAAGTTAATTTTTTTTTCTTTTCAGAAATGAGCCTATCCGGCTTTCGTAGTTACTGACACTTAAAGGAAAACTTTTACAGGATTTATATATTTAGACTTGGTGGTTAATTATATACTTAATACTGGACGGAAAAACTCAAATGAGCTATTTCCCTAACAAGCATTCTGAATTGAATGAGAATGCAAAATGTGTTACTGTCGTAGAAGTATGATGCATCAAGATGAGAAATTAGTCATGTTTAAGTGTTTAAGTGATATTAAGACCTATCAGTCATATTTTAGAATGGTAGGCGTTGCTTGTAATCTGGCTATATTGTAACTTTTTATGTTTATTATTTGAAGCTGGACACTGTTTGTTTTAGACCAGATTTAGGATGGACTTGGTGATTGGCATTAACTTGGTCACTCTTCTGATGATCTCTCTGAGGGGGCTGGTGGAGGGACACGGCCGTCTGATAGACCCCCCGAGCAGGTCCAGTATGTGGCGTTATGGATACAGAAATCCCCCCAACTACAACGATAACCAGCTCTACTGTGGAGGGGTACAGGTAGGGAATATCAATAATATGCAACGAGTACTTTCATGGGTTTATATTCTCTAGCTGTCTGCTCATTTTTCTAAAAGAAGATTACAATGTAATGTGGTCTTGGGGCCAGGTGAACCTTAATTTACTATTTCAAAACCTTATCTTTTCAAGAACCATAGTTTCTTTTTTTCTGCATTTCAAAGAGATTTTAATTTAGAATTTTTTTTTTTATAAAATTGCATTCAAATATACAGATTTGTTATAGAATACTATCTTTGTTTAACCAGTCACCATTTTCTATCTCATATACCGTATAAGCAGAATTTTTAGCTAGGATTTAATTTTGGCATTATAAGGCGAGGGTGTTGAGATCGCTTAAATTGAATATCGCTAAAAATTAATTGCGTTTCATTTGCAAAAGCTTATTTGGTGAGCCTTTTGAAATCAATAAAATTACATCTTGCTTAACATAAAATACCAATTTTTAAAATCAAATCGCTGATATTGTTTCTCGATAAAATTTCCACTTATATAGTATACAGATAAGCTTTTTCACTTTTTACCCTTAAATAATTACAACTAGATACATGTTCCTTTCTGTTACAGATCCAGTATGAGATGAATAATGGAAGATGTGGGGTGTGTGGCGACCCATTTCAAGGGCCTCATGACAATGAACCAGGGGGGAAATATGCTAATGGAATCATTGTTCATTCTACAAGTGTTGGTGCCATCATGCCAGTTACAGTAGAAATAACAGCTTCTCACAAAGGCTATATGGAATTCAAACTCTGTCCAAATGACGATCCCAAAAAAATGATCACTCAAGAATGTCTGGATGACTTTTTATTAACCATCATTGAGTCCAAAAGTACCAGATACCCTGTTACAAGTACTGGGAAGTACAAATTGAAACTACAACTTCCAGAGAGTGTCAAATGCCGTGCTTGTGTTTTACAGTGGAGATATAACACAGGGAACAGTTGGGGAGTGGATCCAAAAACAAATAGAGGATGTATAGGCTGTGGTAATCAGGAACAGTTTTATGGCTGTGCTGATATTGCCATAGGACACCCAAACATAGAACCAGGGTTTTCGTTAATAACCAATCAAATGAGCAAAGGAGGGCCCATTTTAAAGCCTGGTGTGCCTACCCCACCTCTGGTTCCCACTGAACTGGAAACAGGGGGACCTCTTTCCCCAGACAGCGGGGAGGTGGATCCGGCCCAAAAAGTGTACAAGAGGTTCTTGGACTTCCAAAGTAAATTTCCAAACAAATATGCCAGACCCTGTGTTTGTCATTCATGTTTAGGCAAGACTTGTGTATGTGAATGTTTTGAAAGTGATGTTCCTGCCTCATCTACAAACCATCTCCAAAGTTATCTTAATATGTTGACTCTTTTTGTTGTGTCACTCATTTTACAAGGAGTTCCATTTTACCTTTGGGCATAATTACTAGTTCTTACGAGACATAATAACGAGGCTGAATTTCAGATTGTAGTGACCATGTAGATATGTACCATATAGCTGCTAGGTTAGCTGCTAGGATCTAAAAATTAAGCCAGCTGTATTGCTAATTGTTTTCATTTATATATTTAGAGAAAAATCTTAAGACAAACATTAAGTATATGGTATATCACTGTATGTCTAGCTGTTTATTTGTCCATTTTTGGACATTTCAACTTTAAGCTCACCTGGATCCTAAAGGTTCAAATGAGCTTTTGTTAACACATGTCATTTAATGTCAGTAAAGTTATGACCTTGTACTCATCAATGCTGTTTAGGAAACCTTTGCAAACAGAATTTTCATACACCTGTATATTGCTATCCAAATTGTTCTTTCCTCCTTCTGTTAAGTGTCTGTCCATATGTCCATCAGTCTTGGAGTATACCTGTTAGGCTGCAGTCAATTTTCGTTTATTTTTTGTTACATCTTTTACAAGTTTCTTCTCAAAATGACTCATTTTAGGAAGTATTTTCCTTCAGAAAACTTCAAATTTATCAAGCTAAAAGTTAATAAAAACATTTCTTTTAAACTCATAGGACAATGAAAAAAATCTTAGATTCTTAATTCACCTGTGTCTGGGCGAATTTGAAAGTGAACATTTTATTAAAAGTGATAAAGTGATAAAAAATAAGATGAAAATAGCCCAGTTTATAGAATTTTATTATTCGATGCAATAAGACACACATTTATTGAAAATGAAAATATTTTGTCAATTAGCAATTACATGTAAAATTAGATGCTTATTGAGCATGTGATATGATTTGACAATGAGTTTTCAGCAACTTTCTCTTCATTGTGTTTATTTTTGTTTAATAGATAAAAAAAGCAAATTCAAAGAATTGTGGTCCCCCTTTTCGGTGTCTATGTGGATGAGATGTCATTTTTGTGGCATATTGTGTCAAATATGAACGGCCTTTCATTTGTTATTCAGAAGTTATAGTGGAATTTAATTTTTTTTAAATAAGGTCAATTCTGAAGGTCAAGATATGGGGTCAGAAATCATAACATGCTTGGAAATATCTTGTCACAGGAAATGTACATGTCAAATATGAGAGCCCTTTCTCTTCTCAATCAAATACCACAAGGAAAAAATAAACATCTTTGAAAATAAGGTCAAACTTCAAGGACAAGGTCACAAGATCAAACATCATAGTGTATTAAGAAAGGTCTTATCACAATCAATACACAGATTTAATATGAAAGCTCTATATCTTCTTGTTCAAAAGTCATGATCAAGGTTAAGTTTATCGAAAGATAGGTCATATGTCAAGGTTACCAGATCAAATTTATAGTGTATTTAGAAAGGTCTTGTCCAAGATAATACACATGTTTAATATGAAAGCCCTATCTCTTCTCATTCAAAAGATATAGCCAATTTGAAGTGTTTAATTTCTAAAAAGGAGATCAAACTGCAAGGTCATGAGATCAAAAATCATTGTGTATTTAGAAAGGTCTTGCATTACACAGGTCTGACATGAAATCCTTATCTCTCATCATTCAAATGTTAGGACCAAGGTTAAAGTTTATGAAAAGTTAGGTCTAACTTCAAGGTCATGGTCACAAAGTCCAAAATCATAGTGTACTTAAAAGGTCTTGTTACAGGTAATACGCATCTATAAAAGCCCAAAATTGTGAATTTTATGGCCCCAGGGTAAGGGGTTCTGGTGTAAGGGCGGGGATCTGTTGATTATATAGTGAAAATGCATTAATTCTTCGAAAATCTTTACCTTTGCTCCTTGGTATTATGCCAATGATCTAGGTTTCAATATTTATATCGAAGAAATTTCATGCCCCCTTGGTCAGGGGTATCGGGGGGGGGGGGGGGGGGGGGGGTTACATAGTCTGAAAATAAATTAATGCTTTGAAATCTGCTATTTGGTATTAATCAACCATTTATGATGAAACAAAATTTATGATAAAATTTCCAGAATTTTAAAATATGTGGCCCAAGGGTCGGTGGTCCCTGTAGGGTGGGGTACATAACTTGTTATGAAGTGGAAGTGCATTTTCTCTTTGTTACTCTGATCTACCTCTGGGTATTAAGTAACTAGTGTAAGCATGCTAAGTGTATAATCATGATAAACATTGGTGCCTCTTTCAAAATTGTGAATTTCATGGCCTCTGGTTTAAAACACGAATCAAATTCAATTGTTGGAAAGTTGTTACATGACAATAAGGCCCGTGGGCCTCTTGTTAAAATTTGAAAACTTTATCAATTTAGAATATTTTTTTTTCATACCCAGCCAGATTTTTACAGCATTACAGTTTTTTTAATGCACCTGGATCAAAAGGATTATATTGTCAAGTGTTGACTCAGGTTGTACATTTTGACTGCCTATTGAAGAAAACTCCAGTCTGTTACTTTGGCGGTTATTAAAAACCTACTGAGATAACAAATCACTAATCTGACAGTATTCAACTTACATGTGAATTTTATAGAAATTTCTTAAATTTTATAGACCTTTCTTATAATTTACTTCCGAACAAAATTTAATAAATGAATGTGTGCTGTAAACAAGAATCAGGGGCCTCAATAATGTTTCATAAAATAAGAATAATATGAGAACTGGTCAACTGTCTTTTCTTTTTTTCCAAAAAGCCTTTTTATCATGTTATTTCACACGGCACGTCACCTAATTATCATTACATCAAGATTGTAGGTAAGACATAATCTCATATTTCAAAAGTACAAAATATTGTTATCACGAGAATAAGAACTCACTGCATCAATGGTGTCATTGACTCATTCCATGCACTCTCATAGCAGCCATGTGATTTTTCCCCTTCATTTTCGAGATGAGACAAAACCATACATTGATCAGATTATACTTCTGCATCTACTCGACGAGCTAATCTTTCATAATGATATAAATAAATTGCGCCTACCAAGAAGACATTACGTACTAAACATAGAGTGAAGGCTCGGTCGGAAGGTTTCGTTGTACTTACTTGAAAACCATTATGTACATATTGATCTTGTCGTGCAGGTTGTACCTAGAAATGAAATCGCCTAAACAGTTGTTGTAAGGTACCAAACAGCACAGATCAGTACACTTCTTGCATACAAAAACAACCGAATAAGTGTTTTTTCGTTGAAAATTAAAGAGACCGTCTCTCTGTCAACATGGTGGCGGAAAACGGCCAGGGAATTGTCGTAAATTCCTAATGTTGGAATAAGACTCGAAAAGCCAATGTTGAATAATTTTATCAGCACTCTATTGAAAATTACTTTTTTGTCAAATTGTTGCTTGTGATCCATTAAATTACTTTAATAACAAAATGAGACGAAATTATTAGTAACACGACATCAGCAGTGATCGTCACAATCGAATCACCCTAATCTACGTCATATTAGATTTCTTGTTAACGAACAGGTATTCTAGCTCAAAAGTCCATTAATCAATACAAAACTGGAGAAGAACAAACTCGAAACTCCAAAACATCAGAGGTTGGCTCATATGCTGATGAGGAGAGAGCATCCCCTGCCGATCGGTCACATCCAATGAAAAGGTCATTGTATCGACCATAGTACGTACGAGATGATAACTATAAATGAGAGTTTTGATTTTCATGATTCAGTAACTTGCAATTGTTCTTTTTAAAATTGTTCAAAGGCATAGCATGTTTTTGCATGTCGAATCAACAAAGAGATATTAACCCCGTATACAGATGATAAAGGTTAATGTATATTGCTGCATACATAAGGGAAGTTGACAACTGAATAGTTAAAGTCATCTGGTTTGTCATACAGCCTTGTTGTTAGATTATCTCTAACGTCTTTTAATGTAAAATATCTTAATATAAAACAAATGGATCAGATTCTGTGGTATCTTCTATCTCAAGCTCACAAGGCTTTGGTGTCGACATAAGAATGCATGTTAGCATTGTTAATTGACAATACGTCGTCAAAATATCTAATATCTTAAGTCGAGTTGAAGAGATATTATATTACTTTAAATTTAATTGTGAAAAAAACATTAATGAAAATTTTAAGAGATTAATAAATTTAACATAAAATTCTATCTTTTTAATGTGAATGAAATAAATAACTCAGAGGGGGTCAAATTGCAGACGCAGACTTCATATATTAAACTAAAAACACATAAAATGGATTGCAAATTATTCAGAAATACATAGAATTTCGTTGATTGTCTCGACGTTGCATTTTTCAGAAGGATTGACGTTATAATGGCATATATTGTTTTGAAAGAAAGAAAGTCTAGTTAACATGTACTTGAGGAAAAATGAGACATTCCTCAGTAATATATTTTTTTTCCAAGAATTTGTCACTGAAGTTTTACTACTTTAATATATATACCCACAAAAAGTTTGAGGTACCTTACCAGGTATTTGTGCAAGGTTACAGAGGGTAGTGTTTCTTAAATAATCTTTTTTGGGGGAAGCCTTAGTCTTCAAAATCAAATTGTTTAGTTTGTATTTATTTATGATGATTAGAAAATGATTAAAAATCAAAATATCATTAAAATTTTGAGTATTTTTCAAACATTTTAAAAATTTACAATACAGATGTATGAGGAGTGTATCGTCTGACTTTTTAAATTTAATTAAAACAAATCCTGACGATTTTTTGTACTTCCTTATTTGATGTTGCCACCCTTCTCTCAGAATGCTACAGTCCCATAAACTGTACCAGAAATTTGTATTTGAACAAATATTTATCTCTCTGTCTTTTATAAAGTACAACATGCACAGACCAAATAACAGATACTGTTTGATTTTCCTATAAAAGGTGTATTACAATTCCATACAATTTTAAATTTCTTTTATAAAATCTAGTGCACCAAACACCGACTACACGGTGAACAAATTTAAACAATGTCAACATATTAAAACTGCATGAAAACATTTCAAAACTGTCAGTGAACGCTATTAAGAAAGAACAATGACATTATGAAACTAGGAAGAAATGTAATATTTCCATTGATCTTTATTTCATTATAGCCGATGAAAATGAATTTACAATTATTCTGATATATTGAAAAGTATTTCAAGTAGGATTGATTATTCAATTCAGTATCGTAAGAAAAACAATTGTCCAAAATATTGCTGATTTGATAATGCTCTCATAATATATATTCTTGTGTGGCATCGTTCAATACCATCATGATTATCAGAGTTTCTATATTGTCTCTTTTTGTTCTTATAAGGCTGACCATTTTCTGTCACGGACATTTGATGAAAATAAGTGATCAAAACAGAAGCAGCGAGGTACGTATTAATCAACTGATGAGTTAGTTGATAGGTCAGAACGACTTTTGGACACATAAACCAACCTTTCTGACATATTGCAAACATTAAGCATCTTAATTTATGAAAAGATTTTTAATAGGTTTTGCTTACTACGTTTTGTGGTGAATATGCCTTCCATTAAAATATGTTTAAGTATATTTAACAGTAATAACCAATTTACTTGTGAGTGATTAAATATGAAACCGTAAATAGATAATATAAATATTTACAATTTGCAGAGGGAAACCTCATCAGAAAACATGCCTGCAAAATTACACGAAAGTTCAACTGATATACAAACAAGCGAACTTTCAATCACTTCACAATTTCATGGACAGTGGTTCCCGGATGCACTTCCAAGAAATAATCTATGGACAAATCCATTTTCAGTGCTTCAAACAACAATTTCTTATCCACATTTGAATTCATCTAAAACTACTCCTCAAATCTGTCAGTATTGTTCCCTTGCTGAACTATTCTACAATGATGCCTGCACTGAATGGCCTGTAAAAAAATTCAAAACATCAAACAGACCCAAAGAACCTAGCTCAGAAGAAATTTCCTATCCAGGTGAAAAGTTTCCTATTAATATAAACGTTTCAGAGGACCTAGAAGAGAGACATGTTTTCGATTATTATGGGGTAAATATGTTTTTTGTCAAGATTTAACACGACATCGTGGATTATACATGTATTGAATTTTTTTTGTAAAAATTTAGATGACAAAAACCAAACAATTATTCAAATAATTGTTGTCTTTTATTTTTCCTATTAGAAAGTGTTCCGAAGACTGACGTGCCTAAACGGTTTTCAGTTTAAGGATGAGTATTGTGTTTATGCGGATATCAATTCCACTTTGAATGTGAAAGCTACACTTATCATCAACCAAAATCCTTTGATTGGAAAGAGAAAAGAATATTCCAGAAAACAGTTATTTAGAATAGCTCAACTACTTTACAAAACATTTTCCGTGTTTAAACTTTCTCGGATTCTTCATATTGCTATTTATCAAAATTTATTAAACACATCTGAGTTGAATGTGAATATTTTGATTAGTATTTCTTCAAAACTAAATTTGACAGAATATGTGTTAAAACTTATTTCACTTTTTCATAACCGAACTTTGTTCTCTCTTTGTTCCCCTTACAATTTTTTGAAGAAAAATCAGTCTCGAATGGAATATCGTTTTCGCTTTGGTAGTGACAATTTGGATAAAGGTAGGTTCAACCTGGTGAAACATTTCTGGATTCCTTCTCGAAATATGGAAACAGGTCTTGTCTATCCATTCTCGAAAATATTATTTTGTCCGATGATTCGTCTTGGTAAGAATGAGGCATTCATCAACAATATCTCTCAACTTTGTATAAACGAGTTCAATCAGTGTTTTGATTCCATTCTGTATTATGTTTCAGAGCATTTTCAAGTGTGCAAAGATGACTATTTTTCAATTGCAATGTTGTATAGGACATATACATTTCGTTTTTATACATTTTGGGGGTATCTAGCTTTAGCAACCTGGTGTCTATCGGCATTTTGTCTTTTAATCACCCTTGCAATTTATTCCATTTGCCCAGAATTACGAACACTGTCCGGAAAATGTAACATGTTTCTGTGTTTTTCATTAATGCTCGCTCAAATTGCTATCGGTTGTATCGGCCCACTAAGCGATTTCCCTTTGCTGTGTAAAATCTCAGGCTTTTTTATTCACTACTTCTGGTTATCAAGTTTTTTCTGGATGAGTGCGTGTTCAACGCAAATGTTTCTTTTGTTTGGTCGCCTTAATATAAATAACATGGCTGACACTTCAAAGAGGCTTCCGAAATATTGTCTGTATGCTTATGGAACTCCTATTTTCTTGACCGGAACAAATATAGTGTATTCTACTCTGTCAACAAAGGGAGCAAATTTAGGATATGATTGGGATAGTTGCTTTATAACATACGAAATCATGATTATTGTCACGTATGCTGTACCGGTGTCTCTAATTTTATTTTCAAATAGTATTTCATTCGTTATTGTCTGCTGTCGAATCAATCATCATCAGAAAATAGAATCTGTTCAGAAACGGTACTCCAGAAGCAAAGTCCTGGCAAAGTTATCGATCCTAACAGGAAGTCCATGGATCCTTGCTTTTGTCAATTACTGGGTAAAAGATTTAACCATTGAGTTACTTTTCTTGACTTTAGGTGGGTGTCAGGGTCTTTTCATAATGATTTCTTTTGTTTGCACTAGGCGTGTGTTTGATTTATTACGCGAAAAATTAAACTTAGGAAAAAACTTCAAAACAAAAACAGCACAAGATTGTAACTAAAATAATTATTATAGCTGTCTCTGCATGTACTGATTTTTCTGGGGGGGTTTAACTTTAGGTGGATTAATTGGACGAAATACGAGTAGATATTCATTTTAATACTTAATTGCTCTCTGAATAAATGGTGTCATTTTCTAATGTTTTCATCAGTGTGATAGATGCTTTGGTTTTTCAAAATGACTGACTTTTTAAAATTAAAAGTATCAATTGGACTTTACAGGTACATATACTTGTTTTAATTTTGCTATTGTTCAGATTTATAGGGACACGTGTGCAAGTTTTTTTTTTAATTTTGTTTTATTCCTTAAATCGATTTATTTATTTTGTTGAATTAATCAATAAATCTAAATAATAATGTACTTGAAAACTATTTGTTTAGTATAGGAATGACTTCTTCACCAGTATCCAAGTACATTTTATATTTTAGTTCAGGAATTATATTTCTTCTTACATTACGTGAGGGTTTTAATTTCATTAAACATCTGTTTGAAAACTTTTAAATATGTGCGGACCAAACTACAGACAATATTTTGGGTGATTGATTTTAACCAGTTATTTCTGTTTTTTGCTGTATCCATTTCAAATAGTATAATAATTTTTATAACTCATTTTATGTTGAATATTTGTTAAAGACTTAAAGATCGACATCAAAAGAATATTAAGTTATGTCCAGTCATTTTCAGAGATCCATTTTACACATATTTGTGTTGTATATAGATTTTTATAAAAAGATCACTGTTCACTGCCCCGAAACATCTTATTTGACCAAGCTAAAGTTATAAAGCATCATTAAAGGAATTTTAAATTTTCTCAAATTTGATAAGTCTGTAGGCAACTTTCATTTACTAGATCTTGACCCTAAAAATCGAATTCAAAAGAATATCAAGTGGAATTAAGTCATTTTCAGAGGTCTATTTTAACATATTTGTGATGTATATAGATTTTTTTTTACATAGATCACTGTTCATCTTTTCAACTTTTACATTAAAGCATATTGATGGTAAACGATGAAGTAAAATGTTTTCTAATAAATAGCATTTATCCAATCACTTACATTTCTGTAACTCTTTGTGAATTAAATTATACTTATCATGTAATTCTTTTTAAATAAAACCTTAAAATTTTCACTGTTTTATTGTGCTTCTTTAATTCAATTAATTGTGCATCACTATGCAAAATAAGTAATTATTTGTTGTTAGAAAATGGTCGTGATTAGAAGGTCGTGAGATCAAATACCAAACGGACAAAAGTAAGGGAACAATAAATAAGAATGAAATGCAACTTCCCATACTTATATTTGCAATGTATCCATGAATACTGCATATGGGGTTGATTATGGAAGAGCATGCTCTACATACATGTATGAACAATTTTTATAAAGACTCAAGTTGATGACCAAAAATTTCAAGAATCTCCATTAACGTCATCTTTTCACGAGTTCTTCCGAAACATCAGAGGTGGGATTAGGTGCCATGGAGGAGTGAGCATCCCCTGCCGACCGGTCACACCAGCCGTGTGCTCCTTGTCATGATCAGGAAATAACGGATAAAAATCCGTCGTCAATTCAGTGTATAAATAATGGACTAACAATTGGTATGAAAAACGTCAGTCAGCATTTGACTCAATGATAAATTGTATTTGCTGACAAGGTCATTGTATCGACCATAGAACTTACGAAATGATGACTTTAATCGAGACTGCTGATATACTTGTTTCATCAACTTGCTTGTAAATAACCCATCTCGTTTTAGAAATTGTTCATACGTAGAGCATACTCTTGCGTATCGAATCAACTGAGATATATATACTCCGTATGCAGGCGATGAAGGTATATTGTTGCATAAGTAAGGGAAGTTGACGATAAAAAAGTAAAAGTCATCACGTTTATCATATAGCTTGGTTGTTAGATTACCATTAATGTCTTTTTCAAGTAAAATATCTAAGTATGAAACAGAAGTGTCGGACTCGGTGATATCTTTAATCTCAAGCTCACCAGGATATACCGTATCGACGTAGGAATGGAAATTACCACTAATAATTGACAATACGTCGTCGATATATCTTAATGTCGAGTTGAAGGCCACAGCAAGTGTTTTCTTCTTTTCCAATCTACACTTGTAATTAGATTGCTTCTTTTCACGCATAAGATTTTGCATAAATTCTGTTTCATATGACTATTAAAATAAGTCTGCTAATAACGGAGCGCAATTTGTACCCATGGGAATTCCAATAGATTGTTGGAATACCTGGTCTCCAAAAACCACATAGATATTGTCAATCAGAAACTCAAGCATCTTCTTGACTTCAACTTCATAGTACTTATGTGTGCAATCAGAATTTGTTTTAACAAAATAACTTTGCAAATGACCAATGACGAGGTAAGTAAATTTACGAGTTCCAATTTTAGTGAAGAAGCAGCTGTCAATGATATCAAAAAGCCTGGATTTTAATTTGTCGTTCGGAATTCTTTTGTATAAAGTTGATATGTCATAAGTTTTTAAGCTGTTGATTTCTGTAAAGTCTTATGATTTCAAATTGTCCAAAAGTTCTTTAGAATTTTTTAGTTTCCACATCTGATTCACACCACTTCTTGAATATATAGTTACACAGTACTCTTGATATTTTTCCTTCACTACTGTCAATATCTTAGTGAGGTGTAACGAAAGAGGCCTAATTGAACATTTACTGGAACCTGCAATGTATCTTTGTTTGTAAGTATTCTTATGAAGTTTCGGAATCCAATATATATACAAGGTAGTTCAAATTCATTTTGGCTCTGTGGAATATTAAATGTATTCAAAACTGACACGTGATTGTGAAGAATTTCTTCCTTAGAAAGGGTTCGTGATCGGGAGGCCCGGGTTCGATTCTCATTTGCGGTGCCGCGTCAAACCTAAGACGTAAACAAAGGTAGTGACTGTTCCTTCGCTAAGCGCTCGGCACGAGAGGTTAAAGTCACGGGTCGTTCGGATATGACCTTAAAAAACGTAGGCCCCGTGTCAAGGTAGGCGCTGACAGGATAAAGAACCCTCACTGCTTAATGGCCTGAGTACCGAGTATAGGTCTAAATTTGAAGTCCTTCGCCGGCATACGGTGACGTCTTCATATGAGTGAAAAATTCTCAAGAGGGACGTTAAACAATACACAATCAATCAATCAATCCTTAGAAAGGGAAGTATGATTTTAAGTAGGATTACCACTTGTAGAATTAAATGCAAGTTTTTCTAGAATGCTGTTTATTTTATGAGCCTTACAAACGAAGATAATGTTGTTACCTGCTTTGTCGACAGGAACCATTACGTACTGATCATGTAATCTATCTAATTCCTTTTTCACTTCTGGTTTATTGAACACAGAAGGATAGATGGTTTTCATATTGCCCCTCAATCTTTTAATACGTGACTTTAACATGGATCTGATACATTTAAAGCAATATGAGCTGCATTGTTGATAATTTCATTTTGGTGTTAAAAGGTGTTATTTTGATAAAGTTTTATGTAACTTAAAACTTTATGATCAATTGGACTAAAATAAAGCAGAAGAAAGACTTTTATATGCAATCCAAAATACAGTTTTATATAAGAAACCATTATTGTACGGGACGACAATAATGCAATTTTGATTCAATCAAAGCTTATAAATAGATCTTCCATCGCAAATATGAACAACAAAAAATATATAATATTATTTTTTCAGTCATTGAAATAGTTATTTACAATATCGCAACA